ACTCAACACATCTGAAAAGTCTTAAAATATCACATAAAAGCAATCATAATAAGAATCAAAAAGTAGCTAATGCTAAAATGCCAAGCAAAAGAAAATGCCTCTGATTAAAGGTTGATGTGTCAACTGAGACAAAAAAATGCATGGGCACAACTACCAGGAGGAAATCCCAGTGCAGTACCAATTCTGTGAGTTTGATCAAGATTTCAGAAATAACTCTTTAAAGTTGCAAGATTTTCAAATTTAGACGTGAGGTAATTTGTGTAAATTTGGGCTCCACACTTAAACCTTTTGTTTGAGAGAAACAAACCTTCACATGTGAACAGGTTTGAGGTTGTCAGCACATACCACCTAGTTTCTCACCGTGTGACCTTCTTGTTAAACAGGCCTAACAGCTCATTTGATAAAATTAAAGGCACCAGCTTGAACAAACTGGCCTTAGTCTTATCAAAGCTAAGGGCTTAATGTGTTTTTCACAGAGTCAAAATTAAGGCGTGCTAAGAGCATTAAATTAACATGAGTTTCTAGGACAGCTTTACCTTGTGTTATCAAAGGCCACAACTGATGACCGTGTTGTTTGAGCACAGCTGAATGATATTCTCAGATCATTCAATCCATCACGCAGCAAATGAATCTAAGGCATAATATGGCAGGTAATACTGATGAGACCACATTCATGTGCTCAAATCATAATGATGGAATGATTTTGCTCATGTTTGGGTGAAATTTCATTCTTGGTGGTTCGAAACTGTGTGATCTTCCCGCTGCAAATATTTGTATCAGAGTTTCCCTGGTTTCTATTTATTGATTGTGGAATTCATCTTTATTAAGCCTCATGTAAGAATACCTGTGTATTTTTCTAACAATATTACCAAGTAAACAGATAATAATTGCTAACAATATCAAGCTCATTTAGTGGCTCTGAAGTTAAGCTTCATAGCATCTTAAATGAACTGCTGTAACTTCAATAATAAAATAGCAAATGCAGTTTTGTAAGCTTTTTACTCCAAATATGGATGGATGATCGAAGACACATACTTCATCTCTTCTTTTATAAGTCACATTACAAAATGCAAAAGCAAAGAGGAGGACTTGATTTTGTGAACAGAGCATAGCAGAATCTGTGAAACAGCTACTTCTCAATTTTCGCTTGTCCTGTAACTGCAGTGCATCTTGCTCTTTAGGTTGCAATTAATGATGTACTTTGGATCATGTTCAATGTGCAGGTGTGTTGAGGCAAGCTGGTTCAAGTTGACCCAATATTAGTCTGTCTACTTGGTGATCATTCGTGGCATTCATAGCAAAAGATTTTTTTGTTTCATGGGGCACGGCAGTATGTACAAGTACAGCTCAAAAAAATGTTAATATTGTGAAGAAGTTCAATATTTTTTGTCACTGATTTCAGAAAATAAAACTCATATATTATATAGATTTATTAATCAGTGTAATATATTTCAAGTCTTTATTCCTTGTAATATTGACAATTATGGCTTACAAATAATAACCCCTTTTCCACCAAAGGTCGCAGGATATAAATGCCTAGGATTTGTTTTTATCCGGGTAAAGGAGTCCCAGATAATTTGTACGCTTTTTGTTTCCACTGCTCTGAAAGGTTGCAGAAAATTTATTTAAATCAACCTATGGGGAAGTTATGAAGAAAGCTGAACTAGACCTTCAGTCCAGCACGACATTACATTTAAGCAGAACCACAGGCTGATCGCCTCTATGCCGAGTCTTATTCATGCAGTAATGCATGCAAAAGGCCCAACCAAGTACCGAGTGCATACAAATTCACAACATATGGCTCAGAGGTTTTCTGAAGCCATACAGAATACAGGTAACTCCTCTGAAGAACAATTATGGATCTCCCCAAGGGAAATGCTGGTGCCTTGGTGCCTACTCCCTCCTCCCTCACATATGTAACACCACACAGCAGTAGGGTCTAGTGGTATGGGACATGGGACAATGGGTCTTGTGGGCATGGGGGGAGCTCCTTGCAATAGAGGTATTTGAACTCCTGAAGCAGAAACTCATCCCCGACCTGGAAGGAAGAATCCCAACTTGTTCAAGATTGAGAACAAAGCCCTCAGACTTAGATGAGCTTTTTTAACTTGGCTGCCAACCACTCCAGTGCATGTTGAAGGTCATGACCTGGAGAAGAGAGCAGAATCACAGCATCCACAAAAAAGCTAAAGTTTTAATGCAGGTAAAAAGTCATTTATTTATGTAAACCTCTTTAAAATAAAATGACTTAAAAAATTATAAAACCTGAACAGAATTTTACATGGACTGGCGTTTCCAGCAGTTTCCCACAGATTTAATGTTACTTTGTGCGATTTCCAGCACTCTAATCTTACCTGACAAATCTGTAAAACACATAAGGGCAGAGTAACCGTGGTAACATTAACAATGAGGTCTGTCAGCTCGATTTTACCTACACATGACCTTTGTTGGAGCTATGAAGAGGACTACGTGACCGCTCCTGGGTGTTCTTGGAGCTGCTGTTCCAGCTCATGTTCTTGTTTTTTTCCTCCAGTTTTTTTCCTGTTCTACCATGAGAGCACTTTCAAGTCTGCAGTTGAGAGGAGGAAGAGTTTCACCATAAACCGGCTTTAAGAAGAGCTCAGTACATTTAGTCTATTCATTAAAGGGACAGAGGTCACTGTTAATCTGTACATTGACCCATGAAAGTAACATTTGAAACTTCTTCTGCTTGCTCCCTCATAACCATTCACTATTCACTACAGACCATGTACTATGAAAAGGAATTACAACCACTGACGTATCACAGTCTTTAATTTGACTTTTGCGATTTTTATTTCTGTTGTTGAAAAGTGAAAGAACTAGAAAATAATGTGATGTGAAAAACTCTTGCAATATTGGGGCCACACTCGTCTTGAGGAAGCTATATTTGTGTTTCTGTGCTATCTTAAAGGATGTTTTAACAAGTGAAGAAGAGACTAATCACATTTCTTACCAGTCAGCCTATAGAAAATGACTTTGCTGACAGGGCGAGGTTAAACGAAAACCTGTAAGAGAGATCTGATATTGTAACTTTATTCACCACTGAGAACTTAAATGAGCAATAATAGAAAATAAACTTTACAATACTCTCCAGGCTAGAGTTATCCCTGTCACTTGTGCACGTTTGTGTACCACATGTTTTCATCAACTTTCCATTAAATGTGCTTGAATCCTGCACATACAGTTTCTTCCTTTGTTAATAATGGTGCGGTGCTCCCCATCATTGCGTAGGCCATAAAATAGCTATAACATGATATTACTATTAATTGTTCTTATGTAACATTTTAATTATGTTAAATTTTAATTCTCTGACAAAAAAAATTATGCATTTTAGTTGTAACCCATAATTATCACGAAAATGCATAAAAATAATGCATTTCACTCTGTCTGTAACAAATCTATATCATTGATATTGATAGTCCACTTTTGATGAAGCCGGTAAGTAGCGGGCTGCATGGTGGCGTAGTTGGTAGCGGGCAAGAAGCAGCAAGAAGGTCCTGGCTTCGACTCTCGGCCAGGGGTCTTTCTGCATGGAGTTTGCATGTTCTCCCCATGCATGCATGGGTTCTCACCGGGCATTCTGGCCTCCTCCCACAGTCCAAAGACATGCCTGTTAGGTTAATTGGTCTCTCTAAATTGCCCTTAGGTGTGTGAATGAGTGTGTGCATGGTTATTTGTGTGTTGCCCTTTAATGGCTGGTGACCTGTCCAGAGTGTATCCCGCCTCCCACCCATAGACCGCTGGAGATAGGCACCAGTTTCCCCACAACCCACTATGGAAGAAGCGGTATAGAAATGAGAACCCGGTAAGTCTTCGTTTGTCAGATTAAAAGTCCCTTTCGAAAGTAATAACCATTAAGCAGGTATTAAACATTCTCTCATTAAGACCACATTTCTGTTAGAAATATGTTTTTTTTATCTGTCTGATGTAATATTCTATTCTTTTCATTAGCTGTAAGGGGAAAATCATCATAGTTAATAGAAAAAAAGGCTTGAGAACATCAGCCTGTTTAATTAACTTATTTAATGACTTAGTGAATGAAATTACTGAAATAAATGAACTTTTCAATAAAAGCAGCTGTTGCTCTTATAAAGATTACAGTTTGGCATAAAGGTCAAAAGTCATTTACTGATTTTATTACAAACTTTTATTACCAGCATAAAACCAGCATCAGCTTTTGTAGGTGTGCAATATAGTCACTGGACTAGCTGAACCTACTGTCAAAGTCTAAGAAGTTTTCTATATTCTTCATAGATCTTGACGGTTTTCTGGCAAATTGTGTTTCATTTTTTCAGTCTGTTCTCTGGTTTCTTTGCATAGGTATTACAATCTGCACTCAGTGCTCATTTGCTAGAAGTCAACCCTGGCTTATATTTGTAATGTAATCCCTTAGTGTATTCAAAGTCCCTGATCCTCACTTATTTCTTGCCAGATCCTTGCTGTGTTGGTCCGTTTTTTAGCCATGCCTGAGTCTTACTTTTAAGTTAAAGTTTCTGCGGGAGGACTTTCTTCTTCTGCAGCTTTACGGGTTCAGGGTTAGGGTTAGGGTTAGTGTATTTTCAGTAGTCTGGTTAAATTTCTAAATTTATTGCCATCCTCCTGGTCAATCCCATGATCGAGTGACCATTAATATAAAGCATCGAGTATAACTGCAAAAGTGTAATGAGGCATTAATATTGTGAAGTATTTGTCCATGTTAAATCTTAAGACAATTACAAGTTCATCTCTGGACTCTTCTGATCCTTGTTGGTTGCATGTTGTTATTTTATTACAAATTCATTTTTGTACTCCTTTATAGGCCTTCCTTCCTTTTAACATGACTGGCCATATTTTAAAAATGACCTCTAAGTAGAAGATGTGATCCCTTTGCATCTGTCAGCAAAAACACAAGATGGTTAAATGACAAACCTATGGCTGAAGAATTGTTGTGTTATAACCTCTAGTTTTTTTTTCTTCATGACTGTTTTTAATGGAGGGGCTGCACAGTGGCGCAGTTGGTAGCACTGCTACCTTGCAGCAAGAAGGTCCTGGGTTCAACTCCCGGCCTGGGGTTTTTTGCATGAAGTTTACATGGTCTCCCCGTGCATGCATGGGTTCTCACCAGGTACTCTGGCTTTGTCCTGCAGTCCAAAAACATGACTGTTAGGTTAATTGGTCTCTCTAAATTGCCCTTAGGTGTGAATGAGTGTGTGCATGGTTGTTTGACCCACTATGGAATAAGCGGTATAGAAGATGAATGAATGAATTAATGTTTTTAATTCAGCATGTGGCAAGGTTGTTTCAAAGTAGGTGCTATAAAACATAAACACATAATTTATCCTAATTTATTTAACTTTTTCAGTGTTTCCTGAACTGATGTAGAATATATTGCAGCATATTGCAACAAACAATTTGTATTTGTCCAATTGTTACTGAATCAATTTTTAGAATGTATAATAATACGTATTTTTTAAAGTCTGTGTTATAATTTTTGTCTAGTTTCGTTTATACTTCTTGGTTGTGTGAACTAAAGTTAAAAATAGGGGTTTGGTGAATAAAACAGCCATGAAAACTTACTACTATATCATGTCATGACCTGTTAAATCTTCTATTTGACATTTACAACATGTAAAGTACGAAGAGAACACTTTGTTTCAAATGTCAGACTTTTGAAATGTAACTGTGGCTCCATGAAGCACAGATCAACTCAACAGAGCAGACAAATGACTTTTACAGTGGACCAGTGATTGTTTTATGCAGGAGAACAACATCACATTCATGCATGTGCACGTTTACGAGGGACCCCACACTGTAAAAGAGAAAACTGTAGATGGCGGTATTCCACTATGGCCTATGAAATCTAGGAGACATTTCTCCAAAACGTGGCTGAGTACATATCAACAGAAATGTCATTAATGAGTTTCTGTTGTTGCGCTCTGACACATAAGATCGCGTCAAAGCAATAAAGTTCAGCCCCTAAGTTCTGTGGCTGTTAAAAGTAATCCCACTCCTGTTTTTACTGCTGTTACTTGAACAACTCCTAATAGATCTCATGTCACTACGACCCAGGCAACATCTCCAGTGGGAGCCAAGAAAGACGTATCACGTGTGAAAATCCTCCAGCTGGTTGTGTGCAAACGTCTGAGGTGGTTGGAAATGTCAAATTTCACAGCTGGATGAAATCTTCTCTCACATGCTTAAAGGTGAGTACGTTTTTGGTACGATGATGATGATTATCACAGACCTGACATGACCAGTCACAGCAATGTCTGGTTATCGAGTAGGTGACACAAATTATTTCATGTGAGCCGTTTGAGGTCATATCCTGGATGACGTCATGGAACAATCTTTGGACTTGAAGTATTATAGGGGGGGAGAATGACTTCATTTTGAAATATTGATGTAATACACTCCCAACCAGAAAAATTACACTGATGGCCAAGAAAAAAAAATAACTTTTCAGTAAAAATAGCTAAAACAAATTAAATAACATGCTGAAATGTGGTTGAAGATTTTGCTTTCTTGTTAATACCTGAACTAATATTTAATTATATAGCTTCTGTTTCTGAGAAGTGCTTCTGTATTACATGAAGTTGACTAAATTCTTGCAAAAGTGAACAGGCATTCCAGCCCAGGATGATTAGACTACCCTCCACAATTCCACTGCATGTCTTGGATTAAGGTCAGTGTATTGGACTGGCCGCACCACAACATTAATCCAGTTGGTCTGGAACTAAGATGCTGCTCACTTACTGGTGTGCTAAGGGTCACTGTCAAGTTGAAACATTCATTATGTGGGCCTTTTCATTGTCAACGGAAGGCAACATGACCTCTTCAATTATTTTAATGGACTGAAACTGATCCTAAATCTGTGGTGTGATAAACAGTCCATACAACATAGTATGAGAAACATCCCCATAGCATGATGCCTTCGCCACCCTGTTTCACTGTGTGTTGTTGCTTGAATTTTGTGTTTTTGGGCGTTGTCTGACAAACTGTCTGAACACCCTAGACTTAAAATGGACAGTCATTCAAAATGTTTCTCTATTTCTGTTAAGACCGGTTACTGTGTGAGCAAATTGTAGCTTCTTCAGCATGTCACCTTTTCAACAATAGTAATCTGCAGGGGCTTCTTGCAGATAGCTTGGCTTCACATATTAGTACATTACCTGCCATTTATTAATGTACGTACTTTCTACTATCAACAGTAAGTGCTCTGGTAGATAATGTGGGACTGCTATTATTTTGAACACAGCTGTGTAACCAACTATTGAATTCTGTTTTTTTTTTTGTGCTCATTGTTTCATTTTAAATCAGATATTTCTACTTTTTCTTGATTAGATTCTCTGTCCTCTAAGATTATTTTTATTTTATTTAATCTTGTTTAAAGCACATGACAGTAAAGTGACATCACAAAAAGATAAAGCCAGTCTGTTGATCCACGTGATTCCAGTGCGTTTATTTCCCAGGAGATCTCTGAAGCTAAAGTCCAAAATCTGGCAAACCAAACAAACTTATCTGCTCAAGGGCAGCGTTTGCTAAGCAAAGGTTTTTGCTCCCTGCTTGGAAACTTGATTCACATGAAAGTGGCTGCTGTCGAAATGTGAGCACATGAGTCTTGTGCTTGTTCATGGACATATGTGAGCATTTCATGTCCCCCACTCCATGAATGTAGGTGTTTCTGTGCAGGTATGCACGTTGCATTACTCACAACAAGCCAGAAAAGACAGAGATTGTGGAAGTTAAGGCTTCTATTTGCAATAAACATTGTTCAGCTGTCTGTTAGTGCCATGAAACTCTTGTTTAACATATAAATAATCTTTGTGCTTTTGTTTTATAACTTGTGAATGGTATGCTCTTCTTATTAAATGAAACAACTGTACAATGTTGTGAAATGATTTCCGTTACCAATGAACTTTTCTGAATGAAATCTTTTTGGAATCCAAGTAAAGATCAAAGTCCATACCCCTGTAGGGGATGCTGAAGCGTGGGCAATCGGGGTGGTTTATCAGCAGGATGTTAGCAGAAAGCACATCTAATGCTATTTTAAGACCAACAGAATACTGCCTTGCTAAAGTATTCTTGCCTATTTAACTTTTTTTCCCACATTTTTCACATTACAACCCCCAAAATCCAATGTATTTTCTTCATATTTTATTTGAGAGAACACAAAGTAGTACATGACTTGGAAAGAGAATGATTCATGATTTTCAACACTTTTTAGAAAAAAAACATCTGAAAAGCGTGGCCAGCTTATGTAATTAACTCACCTGAGTCAATACTTTGTAAAACCACCTTTCTCTGCAAGTCTTTTGAGGTATGTCTCTAGCAGCTTTGCACACCCGGAGACTGAAATTTAGTTTCTTTATTTAAGCTCAATTACACTAGATGGAGAGCATCTGTGAAGACTAATTTCCTACACCTAAATCTAACTCAGTTGCATTTAGGTCTGGACTTTGACTAGGACAGTCTAACACATAAATATGCTTGGATCCAAACCGTTAATTGCAACTCCGGCAGAAAAAATTGCTTTTCCGGGTAAGTCTCTCCTTGCAAGTTGTTGCACTGATTCTATTTAGGGGTACCAGAGAAAAGGGGACTAAATAGAAATGCAACACTTTTTAGATTTTTATTTAAATACAAATTTTAAAACTCTTCACACAAATTTCTTTCCGATTCACACATCTACACTACTTCGTGTTGGTCTAGTACAAAAAGAACAATAAAATACATTCTAGTTTGTGGTTCATATATGATTTTCTACAAGGTACATTTCTCACTCAGTCAGTCAATATTTACAATAAATCCTAACTGAATGACATTTTTACTAAATTTCCACATGGGTTGAGATGCCATTTGGAATATAATTGAAAGGTTAACAGGTAAGAGGAAGAGAGCAATCACCAGAATGAACATCTCAAATAGACAGAACAAAGTCAATCAATTAACCTTCTCATTCTACGAAAAGACAGGTTGCTGCAGAAGCATTAGTGTTTCCTAATCCTGTGTGAGTGTCAATGATCTCCTCTTGTGTTTGACTTATCAGCTCAGCCAGCAGATCTTATCTGGTAAACCCTGGTAAATCATTGAGCAACCACAGCACGTTAGAGCTTATCGTATTGGAATGGTCAGTGCTGCCAACTTTTATCCCCGATTACCTTGTGGCTGGAGACTCAAAGAAATGAGTTGAAGCCATTAAGGGTTAAGTGACGCAAGTTTCTAGAAAAATATGTAGCTGTTTTCCCTGAATGTTATGTGAGTGTTTACTGTGGTTGCCTCAAACTGTGCAGCCAACTTGGACTGTGAATGTAAAGAAGCAAAAATTCTTCTTTGTGTCCTATGTCTCCTACATTGATAGTTAATGTGGATGTTCATCTGACAAAGGGGACATTAGGTTAAAAAAGCATTTCAAATATACAATGTGATTGTACCTAAAGCTCTAGAGCAGGAGTTGGCTGCACAAATAGTCACATACAACAGTGTTTCCCATCATTGTTGTGGCCATAATATATCTGTAATAAAAAATATTTTTTTATTGGTCCTATGTAACATCCTAGTTTGATAAAAAAAAAAAATGCATGTTGGGTTTTAATTACCTGTAGCCTTAATTATCAAACTAACTATAATAAATACTGTGTTAAAAAGTTATGCAATATGAGTTTAAATATTTTATTGAATTGCTTAAAATAAATGAACTTTTCAATTCAATTCTATTTTATTGAGATGCACCTGTTTTCTGAAAGGCAGTGATGCTGGGAAATGCTATTGGTGTCACGATCTGTAGGTGTTTGGGTTTGGTTTTGAGGGTATTTTGACCATTTCCTTACTTTTTACGTTGTTCTTTACGTTGTGCCTTCTTTAGTTCTTTTCCTTATGCTTGCTGTTGTTAGGTATTTTCCTTATACGTCTTTATTTGTTTATACGTTGGTGTGTAGTATTCTAAATCCGCCTGGAGTTAATTTCCTGATAAATTTCTGTTACTCCTCTGGACTTCTCTGTGTTCCTGCTCATCTGTGTTAATTAGCCTCCATCCTTCAGTTGCTTTGCATTCTCCTTGCCACCAGCTGTTCCACATTTTATCT